GCTTCCTTGCCATTAACGTCTAAGTTTTTTAAATTCTTTAATTGATTTTATTTGATTTATTTTGTTTTTAGAAAGGTGGCAACCTTAATTTATTTGAAAGTTTTTAATTTTTAATTTACCAAATTTAAAACAATTTTACTTCAAGCTCATTGCATATTTTGCTCAACTTATTAACWGCTTGCTTAAAAAAGCTTTATGTGTTTTAGAAAGCTGGCAACACTGCCTTTACTAAAGTTGTTAAATTTAAATTTTTTTAAAACAATATATATCAAAATAATCCTTTAGATTTTGGATAAAATAACTAATTTTTTTTAAATAGGTGGCAACTCCACCAAATAACAACTAAAAATCATTTTGTTTTTAAATTTTTTTTATTTAAAAATATTTGTATATTAATTATTTCAATAATGGCCAAAATTGTCAAACTTATTCTAAACCACCATAACATAAAATTTTTATACACAACAAGAAGAAAAACAAAAACAACACGCAGAAGTCAAACAGCAAGCTCAGCGCCTAATGCACCCTGCATGTAGCCAACCCTCTCCGCTGCATACAGTTACATTTACGTGTGCTACTTAAATTTCCGGTGACAGCGGGAGATCCCACCCAATGCCGTTATGTGCTTTTGGTTAACGTTAATGACCATTAAAAAGGGATTAATTAGTGTAAACTTGCCAGCGCCAWTAAAACAAAAGCAAAAATTAAATAGGTTTGCTTTCCTAAATTTAGGTCTAAGCTGGCTAAGCGTATGCGAAAATTCATAAAATTGTAATAAAAGAGAAATAAACTTAAAAGGTTCAAAAGAAACATGGCAGGTACTTCAGCCCACCCGGCAGCTGTGATTTCCTGCTGCAGGATCATTGTACGGCTCACGACGATGATTGACAGCTTTCGTACATATTTATGTACAAGTATATGCCGCCTTTCATGTATGATTGTGTGTGTGTGTGTCCGATCACCTTTTGAGCTAATTGACAAGTGCAGCCTCTTCACCTAAATTTAATTAGCTCAGTTTTTTGCTTGGCTTAAGTCTACTTCCTTGAAATACATACATATTTTTGGGGCTTTTTTGCTTGCGCTCCGGTAACTGTGAGTAATTACTCAGGGGGTAATGATTCTTCCGTTTTCCAAGTCATCTCAGCCATTTAATTTCCTCCTACTTTTTAACACTCTTCGCTTCATTATCGCCTTCTACTTCTTTGCCATCGCGTCAACTTGAGTTTCAGTTTCTAGCTTGTCACCTATTTCTTTGCTCAACTATTTTCCCTTAACCGGTGTACTTAATGTCATCTCTCTATTGGGTTGACTTGGTTGACCTAATTGTGTGAATCAATCGAAAAGCTAATGCTTTTGCTGAAATCACCCTCGGGTAATTGGAGTGCGAACAGAGTGATGCAATGACTCCCAAATTACATGAAAAGTCGTTTTAATTAGTGATACTTAGCGGCTAGCGGTAATATTGGGTCAATTGGTTGAATTCTTGCGGAAAGCGACAAGTCGAGAGAAGTCGGTAAAGGGATGAGTGGCRAAATGTATCTTTATATACAAAACTGCTATAAATATGGATCAAACTAATCTGATTCTGTTGAATGTAAGCACTAACACTTTGTACTTTGCCCTTTTCCTTCTCAAGCAACCTTACTTGAATGCAGGCAGTACATACCAGCTATGAGAGACATCAATTGACATCCACACGGTCCTTTTATGGAAAAACTTAAAGAATCGAGCAGTTATCAAAACACGAATTTTCCTTAACTCCGGAAATACCGTTTAACCGAATATTATATAATGCTAAATTACTTCATTTTTTCTGATTTGACATAACGAATTCAGAATTATTTCCCCTCGATATCAAAATCACAGGAACTGAAATATTCCTCAGAGCCTCTGGTTCCAAGTTCATGGGACGAAGATCATATGCTCTTCTCTTTTTTTGTATAGTCCTACAACATGTTGTTACAATACACCCAAATAATGATTTCCTTATATACATTTGTATTTATAGTAAACCGTTTAGGTTTGTCAAAATATATTATATTTAAATGAAGCTCAATGGAAAAGTTTTCTTAAAAATTATATGATTTAGATCTCAATAATGGAACTTCTGGTTTACGTTTTGAATCAGATACATACGTATATTTCAATTGAGGATGTTCTTAATATAGTTTTAGCTGACGCGAATTAAAAAATGTCAATACAAGTATGTCTAAGTTAATGGCCTTCAATATAAAAAGAAGTAGAGGATAYCAAATTTGATTTCAAGTTATTCATGGTTTTATTGATAATGAGCAGTAAGTTAGTATTCCCATCATGTTCCTGCAGTCTTTTCTATCGATTGTCAATGGGAATTTTATGTACTTCTAATCTACCGTTTTGCAGTTTTGCACCAAGCACCCTAGTTCCATCGGATTTTAATTTTCTTTACCACGCTTTCGCCATAGCAAAGACCTCAGCTTGAAATATACTGCAGTGGTACGGCAACTTAAGAGATTGCCCTGTCCTAACTCTGGACAGTATATTTCTGCACCAACTCCATTGTCCATTTTCGAACCATCCGTATAAATGTTTATAGTCTTACGTGTAGCTAATATACCTTTMCGTCAGCCATCGTTTGCTATGTTTACTTTGAACCTTCTTTCATAGATAAAAAGTGGGGTCATGTAGTTAGTGTTTGCCCAACCGCCATTACACACCGAGTTATAGAGCTTCGAAGAATTTACATATTATCCTGCAGCCATTAGTCGTCCCACCGATTTTTCCGTGCAGTTTATAGCGAAGAGGTCGATAGATGCATATTTAGTACCAGTTCAAGAGCCGCCGTTGAAGTTGTTCTTTAAGCTCGCGTTATGCGCAGTGAGCGTACCATTYCCATTGGCTTCTGGTAGGTGGATTTCCGTACGCCTGTCCACCACACCRCTGCACCTTAAAATGTAGTTGTGTTGCACCAATGCGAGAGAGAGGGAGAGCCGCCAAGTTGTGCCGAGTCTAGATGCATATAACGCATTGTTTGCCTTTTTTCAATCGTTCCTCCACGTTGTGCTTTCACAGCAGTTTGCTGTCCAAGATTAACCCAAGGTACTCGGTTCGCTCCTTGAGAGAGATTTGTGAGAAATTTTGCATTGCTGTGTGTACGCAAGCAGATCCGTTTTCTCCGGTTTGAATCCCAGATCCGCGTGCCAGTTCTGGACTGTATTGAGAGTGGTGATCATAATACCGCTAATGTTCTGTAGACACAGTAGACCGTTTATACGCCACTAATGTCCAAAGAAGCACTCCACATTGGAGGAGTACCTCTATGGACTCTTTGGTCAGTTTAGCGGCGTTCCATTCTGCTCTTATTCGTATAGGGGTCAAAAGGCTTCTGATACAGAATAGATTCCGTAAACAACATGTTCTTATTTTAGGGAGTATGATAGCATGTAGTCTTTATCATGCTAAATTTGTATACTTTCGAGAAAAAAAATCATTGTTCACATGATCTTTGATCAAAAGCTCTCTTGGTGGCATTTGTCACTAGACATCAATTTATTTTAAAACTGTGCGACTTTTTAAACATATATTTTTCCATACAATATTTCAAGACCTCTTTATACCTTAATGCAAAGGTTATGAAAACAAACTAAAACCTTAAACTTCGGTTATGTCTAAACTTAGTCAACCCCGTTTAGGGTATAAAACTGCAAAGTGGCACATATTCTTTACATTCCAAATCCCACTCCGAATTATTATACTCTCGCAACAAAGTTGCTAAAGAGAGTATTATACTTTTGTACACTTAACGGTTGTTTGTAAGTCCTGAAACTAAAAGAATATATAGGGTTATATATACCAAAGTGATCAGGGTGACGAGCAGAGTTGAAATCCGGATGTCTGTCTGTCCGTCCGCCCGTACAAGCTGTAACTTGAGTAAAAATTGAGATATCATGATGAAACTTGGTACACGTATTTCCTGGCTCTATAAGAAGGTTAAGTTGGAAGATGGGCAAAATCGGCCCACTGCCACGCCCACAAAATGGCGGAATCCGAAAACCTATAAAGTGTCATAACTAAGCCATAAATAAAGATATTAAAATGAAATTTGGCACAAGGGATCGCATTAGGGAGGGGCATATTTGGCCGTAGTTTTTTGGAAAAGTGG